CGTTTCCAAGGTTGGGAAAACCGAGAATCATTCGACTGACATTTTGGCGAAGACATTTTTCGAGACCCTTTCTTTTAAAATCCAAACTTGCTAAGTTAATCTGATTTTTAAACTGTTTCTAGACGGTTCAACCAGACGTAGTTTGAAGCCCACATTCGTCTCATTAGTAGCTGGTTATTCAGTTGAAAGCGTCAAATTGCTGGTTTACGCACGTTCTAGCGACGACATTAGTTCAGCTTTAGTTGAAATTGAAAGATTTATCCAAAACCATATCACATCAAAGAAAGTCGAACACGAGAAACTATTTGACGTTGTGCTTAAACATTGGGATGAATTGAAAAGTTTAGCAAAGGATGGTAATTTAAGAATAACATGCGTTAACGAAACGACTGTTTCGATCGAAGGCTTGTTGAGTAAAGTGCTCGAAGCGAAAGATAAACTCACAGAAATGGTGAGTCGACATACGGACGAAGAACGAAGATTACATCAGCTCAGTTACATCTCACAGAATGTGCAGTGGTATTACTCTGATCACAGCTGTCGCAGCAGAGAGGTGGTTTACAGTGCCCAGTTGAATGGTACCATTGAAGTAGCTTGCATGAATGGTGAGGCAATGGTGGAAATTACGGAATCGGATGGTCAACAATATAATGTGGATTTTGCTCAAATGGTCGCGAGAAACAAGAGTACTGGTCAAACAAGAAAGTTGTCCAGAAAACTGATTGGTTCTGCAACAGGTTTGTAATGTGTCATACACCAGAAGAAGTAATTTAAAGGGTGTTTGACATGGAAATTACACAATTCGAAATACATTTATAATATAGCATTTGTAAATTCTGAACGCTGATTGGCTAAGAGCCGTGTTGATATAACTCAATGTCAAGACGGGAAATTTTCCTCCGCTTGTAAACACGGAAATTTTTCTTATCCTTCGGGCTTTTGACATTGCTATATTATAAAAAAAATATAAAACATTTTTTCCATATTGATATTTAAGAAATAGAAAACATTTTCCGTGTTTCTATAGAGTTATAGAAACACGAGCACGAAGTGCGAGTGTTTCCACGCAATTTCGAGTTTCTCCCAAACTTTCACAAGTGTTTCTATAAACTCTATAGGAACACGGAAAAAATGTTTTCTATTTCCTTTATTAAATAGCCTTTTAAAAACAATAGAAAAGATAAATTTATTGATATTAATTGCTTTCAATCAAATATTAATTCCACCTTAATTAATATACCTTCGTGTAAAGAATAATTATAAAAGCATAGCGAAGTATTAAACAAGTATATCGCTGTCAAAACAACAGACAGCACTTAACAGGCTTACTTTACTAAGTATATAATTCACTCAACAACGTACATGCTTGCATGCAAAGAAAGCACTGTTTTAAATAGTTAGTGAACGTTTAAACATGATTAAAAACTATAGTAAACATGAGTAAAAACGTCGCGAGGAAATATTTTTTTTAATTAAAATTAAAATAACTTACCTTGGTAAATAGTCAAACAGATACAACGTGTACTGTAATTATACTTTGTGCTTTAGATCTTCGCTTTCTAAGTTAGCAAAGTGTTGCCTTTTTTTTGTAACGGTTCTTCGGTTTTCAACTTTTTCCAAAATTAAATATTGTTTGTATTTTGTCTTTTAAACTCCCGCGCAATCCACGCAACCCGCGTGAAAATTCCTCGTGTTTCTATCGAGTTATAGAAACACTGGTTTTTTGAGCTTTTGACCAATCAGCGCCCGTGTTTTTAAAAGGCCATTTTATAAATTGTATATTCAAAACAGAAACCGCAAAATGGCGGGAATTAGCGTGGGTCCCGCGCGAGACGTTCCCGCGTAAGATATGATTTCATATTTCACTATAGTGAAATACGGGAAATATCAGTGGCGTATTTTACGGTATTTTACTCATATCCATATAATAAAACTGTATATCAACACGGAAAATGTTTTATATTTGTTAACTATAAGATCTTTCAACATAATCGCATAGTACTTTTTAACTTTTTTGCAGTTTAGAGATATTCATGTTAGTTTGAAATGCAAATAATACAAGTTTCGTCGTCACACAGTGTAATGAGCTATCGTAAAATCTCAATCATCTGTTTCGGCCATTTTGGGGGATGGTATTACCAATGGAGTATTACCAAAGGAGTTATTACCAATAAAAGCTTTGAATCATTTTAAAAATATTACAGATTATTTAGGAACTCATGCCATGTAACATAAGAAAGCTGTGTTATTTACATGGAAAACCTTAAAGCATGCCATGCTATCTTTTGAAATATATTCCTACCAAAAGTACAATTACATGTACAAAAACTTAATTCGTGTCCAAAAGTACAAAAACTTAATTCATGTCATATGCCCTTTAACTAATAGACATTTTACCGTTGTTTGCTCAGTGACAGACACACGGATAACTTCATGAGGTGTACTGTAGGTAAGAAAAAAGGTAAAAATAATTCAATAATAAGTCACTTTAAACCAATGGCATGAAAATACCGGTAAAAATTAATCTGAAACCACCATTAAACTGGAGAGGTTCAGTAGACGGGATAGCAGATGGGGCAAGAAAATTAACTAAATCTACTACCTGTACATTTATATACATTTCTCGTACTGTGAGAACCGTCAGCTGCACGAAATCCACTTGTGCAACTCATCATGGTGGGGTTGAAATTTTTATAACTTTTCAGTCGCCTAATTTGCTATCAGTGAATAAGATCTGGTCGCCAAATTTAATACCAGGCCTCCCTATATATAAATGTGTTATGAAATATTCTCATTGTATAAATAACATAAAATGTTGGAAAATTATATGCAAAAGCAGAATGAAATATTGAGATATTTTAAGGATTTACAATTACTTTATTTCTTCAGTTTTTTTCTGAATCGCCACGAGGACTACCGTATTTGGCAACTTGCCGCCCGCTCGTTTCAACCCCTGCTCATGGGTTTTTATTTTAGGATTAGAGCTGCCTTCCAACTGGACACACCAACCAGTGAATCAAGTTGTTGAACTTGTGAGACTCACGCCATCATCTCCGGAGTATTCAGAAGTTCGCAGCCATTTTGTAGCCGGAGGAGGCAGAGCAAACCAGCTTTACTCGGTCGAGAGAATTCAAAATCCCCAACTGTACTCCATGTACTTGGCATTCAAGAAATCTATGGCTATGCGTGGTCAAGTCAATGAAATGCGTTTGTTTCACGGGACTGATGCTGCGAATATTCACTCGATTAATACTAATAATTTCAGTCGAAGTTTCGCTGGAGCTAACGGTAAGTGTTTTGTTATACTAGTTTCGAAGGCAGACATCTCTGAGACAAACCTCTCTCTAAGACGAACATCTCTCTAAGACAGACATCTCTCCAAGACAATCATCCAGACATATTTCTAAGGCAGTCATCTCTCTAAGACAAACCTTTCTCTGAGACGAACATCTCTCTAAGACAGACATCTGTCTAAGACGAACATCTCTATAAGACGGTCCATAAGATCTTTTCTCAATGTCTGCAACATTCGCAGCTCTAATGTATGCTGACGAAATAACAGGAACATGTGTAGGAGAAATAGCAACATTTGCAACAAAAACCTACGCATATGTAATTGCTGACTGACTAAAATCAAACAAACTCAGCCTTAACATGACCTAAAATGAGTACATGCTTATTGGATCAGACCATAATCTCGAAACGATAAAAGACATACCGCTATTGTTCCTGGAAAACAAAGCCTTCAATATGGTCAAAACAACTAAGTCCTTTCGGGTACACATTGACGAAAGACTAACTCTGGAGAGTTGGACAGATCTCTCGGGAGGAGGGAGTGTAGCGCTGGGCGCTGCTCCCGCCACCCCACCCCCCATAAGACATACATATCTCTAAGAAAGACATCTCTCTAATATACGGACACTACTCTAAGACTACTCTAATATACGGATACTACTCAAATCTTTTCTAACAGGTACCTCTTACGGGAATGGTGTCTACTTTGCGCGTGACGCCTCGTACTCGATCAAATTCACCAAACCACAACACTTCGGTACACGTCGTAAGATGTATATGGCGAAAGTACTTGTCGGTGAGTACACAAAGGGTGTATCAGGGATGAAGGCACCACCAACCAAAAGTGATCCAAATAATCCTGGTCTACGCTATGATTCTGTTGTGAACGACATTCGCAATCCACGAATGTACATTATATTCCAAGATAACCAGTATTATCCAGAGTACCTTCTAACATTACAGTAACTGGGTAAATAGCAATCACAGATACCCAAGAATGAACTGTTTTGTGATGAAGTGTCACTTAAGCCTAGTTTCCATTTGGTCGTTAGTTGTCGCTGGCACGACAAGCGGTAGATGTGAAATAGTCTAATATATTAATAGTCTTTTTGTGTGTTATATGCAAATCAGTCTTAATGATTGCAGAGTTTTATAAGGTTTTGTTGACGCTCTATTACATCGGCCACTTGTCGTGCCAGCGACAACTAACGACCAAATGGAAACTAGGCTTAACTCCAAATATTATTTTTGTGTGTAAAATTTGGGTCATTCTATAAGAAGAAATAAGGCTGGTTTCCACTTGGATCGTATCGTAACGTAGCGTAACATTTTCTTTTGTTCATTAGTTCACATTTTCACTAGTTCCATTCTAGTGCTCAGAAAACGAAGAAATACACTACGCTTTGCGATACGGTTGAAGTGCATGTGGAAAACGGCCTATATAGACTAGTACTGAAACCAAAGGTCGCGAATTCGATTCCCACCGTGGTCAAGCAATCTTTGCATGCACGAGGAGGCTACGTATGTAAGAGGAGTCTGAGACCGACATGATCTAGATTTACTGTGAGACCAACTCTCCGAAAGGGAAACTGAAAACATTTTATATAGCAGAGAAATTTTGTTTATATTACTCAGGAAAAATATTTCGATGATAGTTGATGATTATTTTAGCAGCTACTTTTGCCAACGGGCAAAAAATTATGCTCGTTTTCTCAAATTATGTGAAGAATTATGCTGCCACAGTCTATATACAAAGGCCTGGCCGCCTAGTAGGGACTTTGTCCGAAACCTCGAGAAGTCCGCCTTTTTTGTGTTTATAATATATAGATTATGTCGGGGGTTGGGGTGGGGGTCAGGTATCAGCCTTGATACATTATAGTGGGGGTCACACAAAGTATATGCCTTTCAGCGGATAAAACGTTTTCGGCGGATAGAACAGTTTTCACTAAATTTTTCCGCTGGATAAAAATTTTACACCCATATACATACATACATATACACACTTTATTTAGCGACGCTAGCCTCGACAACTACAAAAGTTGATTTCCACGGGAGGCGTCCATATAAAAAGGAAGGAAACTAAGTCTACTACAATATGTACATTATCAAAAGCTTCTGTAAACCACAATGGTGTGTCCCAAATAAGGATATGCATGATTAAGTGGATTCAGACTCGGTTATTAACATGAAAAATTTTGTTTTATACAACTTTTAAATATATA